CATCCCATGCGCGCTGCTCGCACCATCCTGGCCAATACATCCATGTACTACTGTGCCCCTTACCCCCTCTACCGATATTTCATGCGCCACATTCCCCGTGCGCCGTGGAGGTAGAACCCCCTTCCAGGCTGATTTACCGGCGCCCCCCCGTCCAGGCCGATCTACCTGCGCCCCCCCCTTCCCATCCGGCGACAGGAAATGCCACCGACAATCAACAACGCGGACATTCCTGGACTAGCGCTGACCGGTCCAAAAAGAAAACAACCAAACGCAAGCACGTGACCCAATGTAAAGGATATGCACGCGCAGTGCAATCTGGGAGACCCGTGAAGACGAACTCACTTGATATTAACTCGTGTTGAACAGCAGTAGCTGTTGCCAAGGGAAGGTAGAGGACTGACTAGGATGGGACCAGGATCAGCTGCTAAAGCAGGGGCTTCTAGATCCTGTCCCCTGTTCTGTCCTTCCGTGGGGAGATGCATCTCCCGCACTTTTCTCTGGGCATGAGCCCGCACTACCGTTTGTACTTTCCTACACATTCAAACCCCATAGCACTAGCCCACCCTGGAGGTTTTCATACGCAGACTATATCTCGGTACTTGACAATTACTTGTCAAATCCCAAATGAAAGTATCGAGGATGCGGACCTCCAAAATACCACATTTTACCCTCCCACACCTCTCACTCGATGGGTCGCAAGACCATCGTTTGACATAGAATATGAAGGTACAGAAAGTAATAAAATGGGGCTAACAGAGAGGAAACCAACAGGAGAGCCGCAATAGGCGAAGGCTACAAATAATACCGTAACAGGTCAGAACCCAAAAGAAAGGGGAAAAGAGGACATGAAAGAAACGAACAAAATAAGCGTCGCCGGAGCGACGAAAAAGGAATGGTGAAAGGAAAGGCCTGTATCGTCAAAACGCCAAATAATCACCACGGTAGAGTGGGAGCGACAGCAAAGGTCACGAAACACCTTTAGCCCGCAAGCTCTAAGAAGTAGAGGCAAAAAAATACGAAAAAGTACAAGAGCATCACAACGTACCAAAAGGCTGGAAACCAAACGTTTCGGAAGCGAAACCAAGAAGAAGAGGGGTCGTGACACTAAACAACAGCTGGCAAAACCTCGGCAGGGAACAGAGAAAGCTCGACCTGGCGGACTATTGAACAAAAGAAAGAAAACGAGAAAACGAAAACAAATAGTCTAATGCTATTGCAAGAGCAACAGAAGGCAAAAACAAACAAGCATGCCATTTTAATGTGGGCGCGCGACGTCATCAGACAACGAAGCGTTCACAACGTCGCCACGCGACATGTCGATGTTGCGAGGAACACCCTTGAAAAGAGCGCTGCCGCTGTGTACTTGGAGGCACCAGAATCCGGAGACGGCGGTTTCGACGGTAGAGTAGCGAACATCGGGAAGGGCGAGCTTGACAGGTCCAGGATCATCCAACAAGCGGACGACGTAGAAGTCGGACGGCAGAGGTGGTCCAGAAATCTTGCCCAACCACCAGAGTCCATCTTGTGTCTTGTACCAGAAGAAGGCCCACCGGTAGAGGGGTGTTGGCGAAGCGACGGTCCCATGTTGAACGCGAAACAAGCGAGTAGCCCGAAGGCAAAGCTAGCGTAACTTGAGCACGCGCCAATTCCCTGGTAGCGGCTCCAATGCGCATCGCACGATAACGGCGATTTGTTTGGCGATGTTGGTCAGGCGAACCTGCCCAGTACCGGAGAACGTGCGGCTTGGAATGCTGCAGCTCCATCTCACGCTCCCAAGAAGGGCGCAGAAGGCCCTGCCAGTGTGTCTGACATAAAACAGCTATCTTGCCCCCACAACCACGGACGGACTGGTGGCCACTATTGCGTACAACCTCTAAACGTCCAACCGGAGTTGACACGTCGTCGTTCGTATCATGGTAGGGAGGAGGTTTGTTCGCAAAAGAGTTCAGGACATACGGAGTAAGACCAGCAGGCAGAAAGCGCGGCAGGTCATCGGTGTCATGCGGGTTGGCGCAAGGCTTGCAACGCATAACCGAAA